CTGTCCTTCTCATGTACAGATCATAATAAGTGATATTGCCCACGTATACTTATTGTAAAGAATCAGTACTGTCCTTCTCATGTAGAGATAATACTAAGTGATATTGCTCGCCTGTATACTTATTGTAAAGAATCAGTACTGTCCTTCTCATGTAGAGATCATACTAAGTGATATTGCTCGCCTGTATACTTATTGTAAAGAATCAGTACTGTCCTTCTCATGTAGAGATAATACTAAGTGATATTTCCCGCCTGTATACTTATTGTAAAGAATCACTACTGTCCTTCTCATGCACAGATCATACTAAATGACATTGCCCGCCTATATACTTATTGTAAATAATCACTACTGTCCTTCTCATGTACAAATCATAATAAGTGATATTGCCCACGTATACTTATTGTAAAGAATCAGTACTGTCCTTCTCATGTAGAGATCATACTAAGTGATATTTCCCGCCTGTATACTTATTGTAAAGAATCAGTACTGTCCTTCTCATGTAGATATCATACTAAGTGATATTTCCCGCCTGTATACCTATTGCATGTTTTAGACATGAGTGATCTAAAATCGTTATTTTCGAATATTATATACATTTCGTGCACTGTTGACGAGAATAGCACATCCCATAAATGAAATGACGATTTTTTTATTTATTTATGAACCCTACCTTTGAATAAGTCAAAATGAATAAAATACACACTTACTCGGCAGTTCTGAATGCCAGATCAAAATTATGCCTGCGATTTTTTGGATTCAAGGAATCAAAGTCAAATGCATCCGGATAAAAATGGTGGATGAGAGCACAGAACGCTAGACCGTCGCTCCAGCTTGAAGAAAAGTTCTGAATATCAATGCTCTAAGAAGAAAATATAAAAGGAAATGGTATTACCATTTTTACTGAATGCATTGGTGCAGACCATCATACACTTATCACTATAAAGAAATACAACTGAGAAAATTAACATAAAACTGATGTGTAACCTAACAGTATTAATTAATGGAAATAATTCATTACTTTTAAAATTGAACAATACAGTTTACATCAGAATATTTTAATCAATTGTTGATAAAAAACATGGAAAAATTCTGACTGTTCGTTAAAAAGTTTAATTTACTAAAAACATACAAATGATATGCGTAATACTTTGTCATGCTACTGGTAAACAGAACCACATCAATAAAAATAAAATGAATACATTCAACGTTAATATGCTCATAATCTAAAATTCACGATTATATATTTCAAAACTGATTGTTCAAGATAATAAACTGCAGCCACCAATAAATTCAAAATTAATACTTTTTAAATCTACGAGTTCATAAATTAATAAATTCATAGACTCTAAGTATTGATAAAAATCTAGTGCAGAATAAAAAACTTAATTAGAACAGGTGAAAGATGAAATCACTAACTCAACTGATTTTATGCATTACTTTCAATTTCAACAATACAAAAAAACAACAGTATCGTGAGTCAAGGTTTAGTCCCAACACATTGTTTTAACGTCAGTTCATGAACAGAAAATGAACATTACAATTAAACAGTTTTATATAACCAACCACTAGAAAGAAAATTTCTGATTGTGGTCAGAGGAACAAACATTCAGGCTTTTACTTTGTTTGTACGTAAATGTAAATGTGAATTATTTTCACAAGTGTTACAGAGATTTAGTACAATCATCTACTTTTAATGGCTGGAGACGGCTTGAATGGGTAATGAAGAAAACTTTAATATAAGTTTAACAT